AGGGAAATGACTTTTTTATATATAGAAAATACCAAAAAAATAAAAGGTAGTAAATAATAAATTTCTTTCACGATCGTCTTTAGTTGAGGAGAAGGAATGAAGTGACCAATTAATTTAAAAGAGTTTAATATGAAAAAAAATGATTAGATTTTTCAAAAAAATAATAATTATGGTTAAGATAGTAAGTTAATGTCAAAAAAATAATTTCCAACTCCATTTTCTACTCTACTTTCACTTTTCATTTTCCAACAGAAAATCTGAATATATATTTATCTTTCATACCTTAAAATATTTTTTTTAAAAAAAACTGTTTAGTTTATAATAGTGTACTACTTATAGAATAATGAAAAAAAAAATGTTGTCTGAAATACACTTGTCTTCAAAATTAAAAATGTATTAATTCAAATAATTATATATTTATCTATAATAACACGTAACCATATCAATTTACACAGTCATAAATTACCAATTAATCCTATTTCCAACCAAGTATTCAGACCCTGTACAATATAATAAATTATATTTATTATTATGATAGTTTTTATAGTTGTAATTTAAAAAAAAATTATAAAAAATATTTTTTTATTGAGATTGAGTTGGTATTTATGTATGTTTGGTTAAAACTGTGGTTGAAATTAAGGTTGAACTAGAAATAATTTAACGTGATTGGTTAAGAATACTTTTGAAATTGAGATTATAGATAATTTAAAAAATATATATTACTATTAATGATTTTTAATTTAAATATTATAGATTTAACTATTATTATTACATCATGAAATAAATAATATTTTATATAAAATATTTTTATTGTTTCATTAAACTATTTATAATTTAATCACGTATGAAATACATCCGACAAAGACTACGGTTTTCTTGATTTTTTAAGCACGCAACAACATTATGTAAAATATAATCAAGAAGAAAATTAGAATTGCGATCAAATTCTACAAATATTATATCATCAAGCGATCTTTATTTAATTTATATATTGTCATTGAACAATATTAAAAACTATTTTTTAAAATAAAATATAATTAAAAATAAAAAATATTTTTTTTATTTTATAGGGTTGGATCCGGTTCAATATACTTTTAGCTCTAGACCAGATTCAATCTGGCCGAAACAATAGAAAATGTCTCAACTATTCATGTGAACAATGAAACATGACTACACTGTTCGTATGATTTCTCCGCACAAGAAGCAGCACAAAGCTACTTTCCTTCCTCCTGCATCTCAAACACAAATTACCATGGGATTCATGGATATTAGATAAAGTTTTAACTGCTATCAAACCATTGTTTACCATGATTTATTTCAAAAACAGAAGCAACTACAAAAATAAACATTTATAAAAAACAAATAAGGCATGCATTCAAAAAAGCACTAAAGTTTGTTAAGATGATTAATCATTTTAAGGGATTATGATAAAACTATAACAATTCATATGAGTTAAATCATATTACACAATTGAAAAAAATTATTTATTAATTAAGAAACTATTTATTAATTCATTATCTAATAAATTATAAAGATTTATAATAGGAAATTATATAAATTTAGAATCCATCAAAAGTAATAAATTTATGAATTTCTTAACTACAAAAATAATTTAAAATTTGTCACACAAGGAAATGGGTAACCTAAAACTAATAGGATTTTGCATTCATTATTTGAACATAAACTTTTAAATTGTTGTTTGTTTTTGCAGTCGAATGATGATCATGATAATAATAAAAAAAATAAAAAAAAATTATATTAATTAAATAAAAATCAGGTCATTCAATAATACCGACAAGTATAATTAGACTCATCTATAATTAATAAAACACGAGTATTTATTACAAATCAAGTGGAGCTTATTCAAAATCTGATTAGATATGAGTTAAAAATTAGTATTATCATATAATTTTTTCACTAATCATATCAATTAATAAGAGCATAACAAATGGTTTGTTCACTTACATTGTATCCCTTTCTCTTTTATCTTTACCTTTATCTTGATGGTCAAGCTTCAATGGTTAACAAACGCATTTTGTTTTCATTCCAAAAAAAAAAAAACTTTAACCCAAACATCAAATATCAGAACAGATCTGACGTTAACAGAAAAAAAAAATCGTGTTGTTGATGTAATTTTAGTGACCATAGGATATGGATTTATTAATTAACAAAACTTGGTATTGAAGAAGAAAAAATCCCAAAGAAAATGTGCATGTTTGAGAGAGAAAAAGGAGAAAGAGGGAAATTGGAAGATGAACATCAACGTTTCTTAATTACAAACAAATATGAAAATAATTATAAATGGATTTAAAATTTTTAAAAATCATTCAGAATTATTATTATTATTATTATTAAAAGAAACTAAGAGGAGTAGAGAAAATATTGTGGCAATGTTTACTATAACTCTATATTCATTGGTATTGTAGATTATAACAATAAAATTATAAATTTGCTCTTATGAATAATAATAATTAAAAAAAAAATATTGGTATACATTGTGGGGATAATAAGATATTTCGATTGTTTTATTACACAATCAAATCTTGAATATCCTTTTAAAAAAATATATTGAACAGCCATCAGCCATGTTATTTTTATTTTTTCTTAAAATAACTACATTGCCTTCGCATTCAAATTATCTTTAACAAATTATCCTTAACTTATGTCAGAGGATTTTTTAATTTTTAATTTTAATTTTTTATTATTAAAGAGTTTGATTATGAACAATTTAATATTTCAATAAATATAAAATAATATTTAATATTAAAAAATGGAAAGTACATGTTATTCATGCGAACATCCGGGCATTGTTATATAATAAATAAATACCAAATTTCATGGTGATGTTTGAATATTCATGGCACCATTTTCATATTTACACGATGTGTATAACCAACAAACCCTAGTCTGATACCAACATTCTTTTCTTTTATTCTCGTCTTCTCTCTCTACTTGTTTGGCCATGTAAATTTTTAGTATGTTTTTTAATTTGGTTTTTTTAGATTTAGTTTATTCTATTTTTATTTTTATTATTTTGTTTTTAATTATTTTTTCATTAAATTTATTTTAAAATTTTATTTTATTTTATGTCAAATTGAGACTTTATTTTATTATTATTATTTTTATCTTGGTTGATTAAAATTTTCTTTCTCAATTTTATTCCTTAATATTTTGTTAATCAAGAACTTTGCATCATGATTTTTTTATCTGTTTTTTATGAAATAATTTTGATATCAAAACTCTCCTTTTATTTTATTTTTTACTATTAATGTTTTTTATTTCATTCTTTTATGAGTTATCTAAATATCATATATAACAGGTTATAGATTTTACAGTTAAACTAAGTAAATTTAGGTTTATTTTAAATTATTTGATATATATATATATATATATATATATTGTAGTTGCTTTAAAATAAATTATTAAATTAACTAAGCTTTTTAAATCAAATAAAATTAATAATTTGATTCTTAAATTTTTTTAAATACTTAAATCTTTTAAATATTTTTTTTTAATATTAAAAGAAGTTTCATCCCGCTGTCGTGATAAATTGGACCACCAATCTAGTTAATTAAATGATAGAGACCACGTTATAGTTAGCTTATTTTTCAAAAGTCATCACCATTATTAATAGTGGTGATTAGTTGGTATACAATAAATAATAAATGAAAATGATATATTATTTGAAAAGCTCATTTTCATTCTTTAATTTTAATTTTTATTTATACTCTTCATAGCTTTCAATTAAACAATCACTGAGGCATGCATGTTTTATATAAAATTATTTTTTAAATTTTCTTGTATATATTTATAACTAAAAAAGTTAGTTAATGAAAATACTTTTTAATCAAAAGTAATATTTAGTTTAATTTGTAGAATTTTTTTTTTATTTTGAGCAAGAAACACTTTTTAAAAGTTATTAATTTTTTTTAAAATATCATGTTATTTACTAATAATATTAAATTTGATTTTTAAATTTTTAATAGATATATATTTTATTTTAATTTTTTTTTTCAATTTCATTATATATTATTTAATTTAATTTAATTTTTATGATTTTTATTTACTTTTCTCTTATTATTTTTTTTACTTTAATTTTTAATCTATCAAATTCGGTCTCATTATTTTTATTATTATTTATTTTATTTAAAGTAATTTATTAAATTATAATTATTATTTTTTAATTTTATCATCTTTTAATTTTTTTATATATTATATTATATTTTTATTATTATTTAAAATAATTTATAAAAATAATTTTTTTCAATTTCATTCATTCAACTTTTAAATTTATAATATTTATTTTTTATTATTTTAATAAATATAATAAATATTATTAATTTATTTTCTAGTTTAATTATAATATAATTAAATATTAAAATATATTTTTTAATTAATTTTTTATAAAATAAAATATTTTATAGAAAAAATTAATTTATAGTAAACAAACGATGCACAAAGCAGAGATAAAACTTTTACTTTGTAGACTTCTTCTTTTTATTTCTGCCATTTCATTTATTATTAAATAGGGGAGCCCATAGAGAGCGTACCAGGCCTGCCTAAACCTGCAGGCCAGGTCACATCTGTCCACGAAGCGCCTCAGGGAAGCATTTATAAGGTATCTGCTGGTCCCTTGGTAGGGCACGTAATTGAGGTTGGTGAAAACCGTCTAGCAAGCGCCGGTTGATCCAGGCAGCTGGGCGGCCAACCTATCCGAGTTAGTGAACGGTAGCGGAGGGCCGTTACTCACCGGCCACAGCTTGCCGGTACGTACATGATATTTTTAATTTAACTTGATGTGTTAATATTAAATAAATAAATAAAATATTGTTTAAATAAAAAACCACTGTCATAATATCAAGTAACTGAGTGACATCCATAGCATGACAACACATGGTGGAACAATAAGATTCAGATTTACAACCTGCATATTCAGCATTAGTTCCCATGAAACATTGTTCAGGTTCTTACCATGGATATATTTGATTAAAAGGCATGAATTTCCAGCAAACTATGAAGATCAAATCATATATATAAGGGATCCACAGATGTTTCATAAACTCGGATCCATTGCTCTTTACGAACTAACTATCGTGGTGAACAATGGACAATAACCTAGTACTGTATTTCAAAATACAATGAGGCATAAAAGAAAGCAACAAAAGAGAAAAATGGAGATTCTATTCAATGACTTATCTGCCATCAGCTCATGCCTTCTCAACCTAGGGCTACCAGTACCCATTAAGTGATACGAGTTTGGAAAGGGACCGAAAACCCTCGCATACACCATCTCTCTGAACATCCCAACAACTGGTTGCTGCAAACCGGTCATTGTAGGGTCTCCAAGATTAAGCAAGGGTGATGGGGAAGCCTCTTCAAAACCGCCGTATGGATTAGCATTATAGTTATGGCTCCGGTAAGGATTGCGATATGGAAGCCGCTGGCCGCTATTAGATGTGTTCGACACCACACCTTGAGCACCACAAGCTGATGGTCTGGGAGGAATGATCGTGCCCCTGTATGGTGTCTTGCCTTCAGCTTCGGTTGAGCCTTGGCCACGGCCATAGAGGGGAACCATGGTGGTGTGGGATATATCAGCCTTGCAAACTGGGCATTGCGGGTGCTCATCGGAGGCAAGCGAGGCGCTCTGGACGTGGAGCCACTTGTAGATGCAGGGCCAGCAGTAGAGGTGGCCACAGAGGGTGACTACTGGCTCATGTGCAAAGTCAAAACAGATATTACAGTCGAAACAACCACTGGGATTTTCCGAGTCAGTTGCCGCACTTGAAACTGATTTCCATCCCTGGGTAAAATAATTCTCAAATTCCATAGATTCTCACGTTCTTCTTTAACTCTGAAATAGGCAACAGAAATCAAACCATATCAGTAACAAAATTCCTCTCATCATCCAAGCACAGGTACCCACTAACTCATAACCTTCCAATGATACAAACTATGAAACTCTACTGAGAAAGAATACAAAATCAGTAAAGATACCACTTGCGCGTATGAGCATGTAAAAACATCTAGATAGGCACAAGATATATGCCACCAGCGAAGCAATTATGATGTCTGAACTAGAATAAGTAAAGGCACCAAACAAAAGGTCCCCATGGCCCACCCCATCGTTTTGTTTTTCATACCAAAGGCCAGAGCTCCCAAAAAACGCAGGTTTAAGGACCCCACAACTTTAGATTTCTTATCAGATAAGGACTCCACCCTAACAATAATTACGGGGAGAGCGTGAAACATATCCATTCCTGGTTCCCATTTTGTTTTTTGTTTTTCTATTCTCGGTAAAATTCCGTTTAAAAAAATTCCCATTTCATCTCTCTTGATAAAGCAACGGCAAAGTATGGCTTACACCAGCACATTTGAATACTGTGAACTGCTAGCAAGAAACTTCGCAGCTTTTCAATGAGAGACGTTAAAATCCATCCTTCTAGATAAGCACCACTTTCTAAATCTTTGTTAAACAATCAATAGGTTAAAAAATAAAATGAACTTTTCGAAGACAAAATCTAACCAGGAATGAAGAAATACAATTTGAACAAGGATAAGTTCAAGAAGAGCCCAGTTCCTCGCGCTCGCGCACACAACTTTTTTTTTTTAAGGCCATGTGAAAATGACTACAAATGAGTGAACAATCAGCAAAGACCGTCTCAAATATAAAATATATTTAAGAAGTCGAATCATATAAATCAGATATTCAAGCATTGGATTCTTGTTAAATCAAACAATCAATGACAGACAAAACCACAAAACAAAAAATAAAACAATTTTGCTTTCGACAACCTCAAGAATTCAGAGAGATGACAAGAACTTCAAGACAACTTCAAGACAATCAGTGCTTTTATGTCAAGGTGATCGCTCACATCAACAAAGAACTGAAAAGAATAAGATTAAGTTCCTTTCTAGGACCGATCTTCACTTAAATTAAGAACGACACAGCATCTCTAGAACTAAATAAATTATGATTATCCATGAACATCCATCCAGCATACCTAATTACCAGACTAGCAGTACCGGGTCCATTACGAACCGCCATAATTTTTCACTATTAATACTTTCATCAACCACCAATCATCAAGGCTATCACCACAGGCCCATTTTAAGCTCAGCCAATGAATTTTTTTATGCGCTTAGAAAATGGGAAACGAAAAAACTGTGACGCACACAAAGATGATTGCATACAAGGGGAACGCACATTTGTAAGATCGCAGAGAGGGAGAGACGGCAGGATAACAATGGTTGGATGACTATCAATGTCCCAGATGGTCATATGTTTCAAGATTTAGTGTAATTAACAATATATGAAAAAAAAATCTATATAATTGTAGTTTTTGTTTTTAAGATGCCAAGAAAAGCAGTCGAATTGAACCTCAAACTTGTTTAATTCTTCACGTCCACACTTCAAACCTTCAAATTTAAAGCAGACTTTACTACTTCTACACACACAAAAAAGAAGCAAATTTCCCAACCTTATTTTTTTCTAATCAAGCTTAAAAATTGCCAAT